AAAAACGTATTTCTAATATAAAGCAGAAGGTTAAAAGAGACATTGACCCATTTGGCCATAGCTTTGACGCCGTCGTCTCGTTCAAAGAGTATTCTGATAAACAGGATTTGCTTTATATTTATAAGGTAAATGACAGAAGAGGGAATCCTGACAAGCCCTCTTTTGTCTTCAAGACAAGTTCTACAAAAGCAAAAATTGCTTTAAGCATGGACAAAGACGAACAGAATTTTATGAAAATGAATTCTGTTTTTTTGATGGAAAGCGAAAACGAGGGTACAACAAATGTTGAATTGTTTTAGATGCTTTTTAACAAGGCGCTGGCAAAAGTGGCAGACGATCCTTCAATAAAATTCAATCCAATCTGTTGATGCAGGAATATGGCGGGTGCTAACCTGGCAGGCATTACGAGGGCTTATGGCAATGCAAGCCTAAAAATTTCATGCAAGTTCCACTTCAAGAACCATTCAAGAAAAGCACAAATACTAGACCCAGATAGTGCGGAAGAGTTTACGGGACTTTGTGATAGACTATTGCATAGTGCGACTGTGGAAGGTTATGAGTCTGCCAAGGGACACATGGACGAATTTGTCAGTGCAAAAGAAGACAGAGCTTTCCTAGTAGATTGGATTTCTTGTTGGCACGACAGACGTGTGTTCATTTTTTGCGCATTTGCTGCACAGGATGCACTAGAGGTGAATCAAGCAGAGGTGATCCACACTGGTTGGGTGCACAGAGACCCCCCCAGTTTATCACTGTTGGATGCATGTCAAGCAGACACACGAGACTCTGTTGCTTGACGTTGAACTAAAAATTACCAGTCCGGCTACGCATCGGGTGGAGGTGGCCCTTCCTTTGTTGATTGGCAGAGGAGGAGACATGCTAGCCATTAATAGAACCCGATCCATAGGAAAAGAGATGTTTGCAGATGACAATGAAAAACACAGCTTACTGATTGACCTGCAGTTATCACACTGTCCTAGTGGTAGAAGAAAATCAAAACGGAATCCAAAGAAGTATCTTGAAAAGAGTGAGAGCAACCAGATGTTGTGACACCTATGGCACCACAGATGTCCTCCGCAGCACCGCAGATACCCTCACAAATGCTGCCACAATATACACTGCTACAAGGATCCCCTTGCATACTGGCTCCCCAGCCATCAGCACACCTGCCTTTTCAGACCCCCCTTGGCATACAACAGCTTCAAGTGACGCCCTCGTCTCCAATTTCTCATTGTATAGCCATGCAGGTGCCCCCACCGGTTCCGCCAATTGGACCAGCATTGCTGCAACAAGCACCAGCTCCATCCTGGAATGCTGGTATGTCACCTAATGCATATGAGGTTGTGGTAACACCTGCCAAGGTGCAAAAGTGGTATGGTTGCGGAAATGACTTTTCTCCGATGTACAAAACTCCACCAACGAATATAGTCATTAAACATGTGGACAGGAGAGTAACAAGGAGAAACGAGCAAACTGTACAGCTAGTGTACAGCAGTGATTTCAGCAATATGTATTATCATCCGATTCCGTCGCAAATTTCAAGGATAAATCATCCTTTCACGGGACTTGTGGAAATTGACAATACCGTCTATGCTTCCTTAAATCAGGCACAGCGCGATATTCTTCATTCATTTCAATTTAATATAATTACGCGTTTGTAAGCTGTAGCAAAAATACCCTGGATACGATTTTTCGAACGGCATTTGATAGTGAATTCAGTTATAGGTAATTGTAATAGTACTAAGTAATAATAAATAATACTCCGGATACGGTAATCTCTGAAGAAAAAAAATTGAAATGCTCAAGTGTTTTTGGGAAATGTTTGACATGTTACCCTCACCCTTGACATATAACATATCAGATTGTGCAGTCAATATTTTACAGCAATTTTACAGCAGCCCAATTTTACAGAATAATTTCGTTTTTCGCCCTCCTAAAAAGGTACAGTAATAGGTCCTTTGTTTGAAATTTATCAACACTTGTCAAGGCACAATGTGGTCGGTTTTCCAGGTATGCCCAATTACCCTGACAACAGAGGCTTTTACTGGAAAACCACATGCCACCAGAGTTTTTTTTCCAGATGTTTCTCCCACATTGACACTTGTCAAGGCACAATGTGGTCGGTTTTCCAGGTATGCCCAATTACCCTGACAACAGAGGCTTTTACTGGAAAACCACATGCCACCAGAGTTTTTTTTTCCAGATGTTTCTCCCACATGAACATGGTAGTCTGCTTACGAAAGTTGTAATGTTTTAAATTATATTCTCAATCTAACAACAATTGTTGGGTGAAGGTACAGTATTCTTGTTTAAAACATCTGGTTTTTGAATCCGAAATGAGTTGGAAACGTAGGTATGTAATTCAAATTCCAGAATGGGTCGCACGCCGGTTAGTGCTTGAGGCCGCGCAATAAAGGCAGTTATTGTGCAATCAATATTTTACAGCAGTCCAGTGTTTTGCCCAATTTTACAGAATAATTTCGTTTCTCGCCCTCTGAAATGGTGCAGTACTCTGTTCTTTCTTTCAATCTATCACACAATTAACAAGGATGTCACGCAATGCTCCCCCAAAGACATGGCCAAAAAGTGCTGCGTAGAATACTAACTTTTCCGGTGTTATTATTAACCATTATTTAGTAATTAATCTATTATTTCTTTTTTATTTTAAACTTTAGTATTTATTTGTATTTCTTATTTTGTTAATATCTATATATTTTTTTAGTTTTATTTTTATTATATTTTCTATTTCAATATATTTTTATTTTAATATTAGTTATTTAATTATTGATTTATTATTTTTAGTTTTTTTGGACCCTCGACATATTACCCTCACCCTCGAAATGTAGCCCTCTACCTCCGATGCTCAACCACATGGCAGACTCGCCATGTTGGATTCTTATTGCTCACTGCGCTGGATAAAGTCTTAAAATAGAGGATTCGCTCGACAATAATATCTGAAGGCAAACTAAATTAAAATGACAATTTAAAGTTCAACACCATTTCCCACTTCTCGAAATCAAAGCTTGCGTTAATTAATGTTAGAGTAAGATATAATATGAAGAGACCAAAGTCTAGGAAGCCACGACGATCTCAGCTACCTCCAACTCACTTGTCACAGCTGTTTTTCTCAATAGAATTTTCTAATCACAGTCTGTTTGTTAAAGGAGCTACGTCACGATATTTTGAGTCATTTCATCAATGGCCTAAATCAGCATTAAAGTGTTGGGAAACCTTAAAATAATAGTTTGCTGAGGAAGAAAAATGTCAAAGGGTGACTCTAAAACAAAGAGGAACAAGGATGGCTGAGGATGGAGAAGATTGAAACAGATTAATACAATACACGAATGATGACATAGCTCCTTTAATGCATTTTTTCATAACAATGTAAGTTGAGAATGTTTAGTTTTAACTTAGAATTATGCTAGGATTATTCTCTTAAGGTTCTTCCACCTCTTGGAACTAGTGATGGTACATTTTTTATTTGAAGGCTAGACACCAGAACAAGTAAAAACATGGATTTGTAGTTTTTTGGGCGAGTCAGTTGGTCAAAAATTTGTAGAAGGGTAAAGCATTATTGAGCAAACACTTGGAAGTGGATTCAACACTTGAAAAACTGGGGGTGACAAATGTGAAGAAAGAACACTTCTGACAGGAGCTCATGGCTATTAAACCCATCGTGAATAGTAGATATTCTTCCTTGCCTAACTTATAATTTAACTATAGTTTTAACATGAACATTGCCAAGATTAAGCCATCCTTAATTTTTTTGGGGAAGGGAGTGGGGGGCAAGTAATTGCAGTAATCTAAATTTTTCTGCATACCGATATCAGGTATTCTCCTTTATCACACAGAATATAAAATCACTCTTAGAATTGGAAACCTTATCTAATCTCAGAACTGTCAATATTATATTATTGCTTTTCTTTTTCCCTAAATACCTCCCGCTCTTTTGGCTGTGGTCACTAAAGAAAGATTGATAGATCATCATTGAAGGATTATGACAGGCTGCTTACGAGAGAAGAAAGAGAGTAGCTCACTTGCAGAGAAAAAAGCATTTACAATGCAAAGAAGGTATAAATTTATAAAATAATGGAAAGTCTCTTGTGTGTCATTTTGGTAGTTAACCTAAGAATCGTGTTTACACAATTTTTATTTTGTACTTTCTTGAAACTGACTTGATTACTGGTAATGCCAAGAACCCCTAGCCACTTTGAACATCGGACAACTGGAAAGTATGGAAACAAATGTGGGGCAACTACATGGTCATTGCTGAACTCGAGCTGAAACCGCCGGCGTACAAAGTCGCATTGTTTCTCCACTGTATCGGTGTTGATGCGTTAAAGATTTTTAACGGCTTCCAATTCGACACTGCAGACGATAGACATGACCTGGCAAAGATAATACAAAAGTTCGACGAATTCACCATCGGCGAACTGAATGAAACCTTTGAAAGGTACACTTTCAACTCCAGAAATCAACAGGAAAACGAAAGCATTGATGCTTATGTCACCGCCCTTCGCACACTAGCGAAAACATGCAATTTTTGTGACTGCATGCGTGATTCGATCATTCGCGACAGGATCGTCTTGGGCATTCAAGATCACCGCACTCGCAAACGGCTTCTACAAGAACGGAGTCTCACCCTGGCTAAGTGTATCGATCTTTGCAAGAGTTCTGAGGCAACAAATTTGCAATTGAAAACAATCTCGGGCGCCCAGAACGAAGATGTTCACGCTGTGCCGCGCGGGGAAGACGAAGACCTGTAAATTTTGTGGCAAAGCACATCCTTTCGAAAAAGGAAAGTGTCCAGCGTGGGGCGCGAAATTTACGAAGTGCGGTGGCAGAAATCACTTCGCAACAACCTGCACTACTCCGACCAGAAAAGTGTACAACTTGAGAGATGACACACCCTTACTTCAGCATGCGCGACGAACTGACCGTACAAGATGGGCTGGTTTTCAAAGGGAATTCCGTTGTGATACCAGAGCCTTCGCGCAGAT